AACTGGGTACAAGCCAAGCGCAGAGCGATGCATCTGAATCGGCAATAGATGGGGCACACCGATGTGAGACGCAATGAGGAACCGCTCTCCACACGGCGCAGGGTTGTGGTCTTCTACGTCTCGTCCACACGGGGCCTGACGACAGCTCGAGGGGTTCGGCTTTGGGCAGTGACAGCTCGACACGTGGTTCCGCTCTTGCGAACACTGCTACGGGGTCTTTAACGTCAGAGTGAGTCTTGTCGGACCCGAAACTGCCGTGCGCTGCCAAACCCCCACACCCATAAATTGTCCTGGTCCCGTGTCGCGATGGGGGTGGAAGGTGCACGTCATGCCATCTGTGCCGTACTCTGCCTTGGTGATTCAAATTCCGATTGGATGTCCGCTGTGGGAATGGGACCGTGGTCCCTACGAGGCAGGCGACGGCTCGCGTCGTCTCGAGTGAATGGGGTCCCGTGACACGGGAGAGGAGGAGGAGGAGGGCCTTTTACAGCAGCGGAGGTGAAACGCTGAGCCCGCTTCTGTGGAAGCCCTGACGTGTAACTCAATACGGACAGCTGGTGCGCGCAATGAACCGCACCGCCCAATCTAGACACACCACTGGGCCACCACCCGCAAGCCACACCATGTCGGAATGATTGAGAAGGCCGTGGAGCCGAGCGGACTTTCCGACGGCCGGTACCAGCGGCGTTAAAATGGGCCTCTGTGGAGGAGGAGGTTCGTTAAGGACGCTCCTGGGCAGTCAACCTCCAACAACGGAGGGCAGAGCAGCAACACAACGAACGGAGCAAATGGGCGGCTAAGACGCAGCAAGTTGGCACAATGGGAAGCACAAGTAGTGCATTTGCCAGTCATCTCCGTCAACCCACAACACATAACACACCAACCAGTCACGGCCACGAGGTTATAACTCCATCCAGTCTCACCACCTCCACCAAACCACGGTCACAACACACGCCACCTGGCTACACAGCGCCAGTCATCAGCCCAAGCCCCATCACGCAAGAGTTGGCCATTACAATGTGGCGCCATGGTGGTGTTAGTGACTGAAGAGTGATGCAGGGGTGCCGAGGACGAGGGGTGGGTGATGATGACGAGGGGTGGGTGACGAGGACGAGGGGTGAGTGACGAGGGGTGGGTGACGAGGACGGGGGTGACGAGGACGAGGGGTGAGTGACGAGGGGTGGGTGACGAGGACGAGGGGTGAGTGACGAGGGGTGAGTGACGAGGACGAGGGGTGAGTGACGAGGGGTGGGTGATGATGACGAGGGGTGGGTGATGATGACGAGGGGTGGGTGACGAGGACGAGGGGTGAGTGACGAGGACGAGGGGTGGGTGACGAGGACGAGGGGTGAGTGACGAGGGGGGGGTGATGATGACGAGGGGTGGGTGATGACGAGGGGTGGGTGACGAGGACGAGGGGTGAGTGACGAGGACGAGGGGTGAGTGACGAGGACGAGGGGTGAGTGACGAGGACGATGGGTGGGTGATGAGGACGAGGGGTGAGTGACGAGGACGATGGGTGGGTGACGAGGACGAGGGGTGGGTGACGAGGACGATGGGTGGGTGACGATGACGAGGGGTGGGTGACGAGGACGAGGGGTGAGTGATGAGGACGAGGGGTGAGTGATGAGGACGAGGGGTGAGTGACGAGGACGAGGGGTGAGTGACGAGGACGAGGGGTGAGTGACGAGGACGAGGGGTGAGTGATGAGGACGAGGGGTGGGTGATGAGGACGAGTGATGAGGACGAGGGGTGAGTGATGAGGACGAGGGGTGAGTGATGAGGACGAGGGGTGGGTGATGAGGACGAGTGATGAGGACGAGGGGTGGGTAATGTTGCCCCTGCTCTCCAGGGCCCCATACCCTGCAAGTGTGTAGGTTGTATAAACACCCAACACTGATCTAGTCACACCGTGGATAACGGGTAAAACAAACCCAGCTACAGGCCTCTCGTGGGTGCCCTACAATTTCCGTGTTGATCCCTTGGTGTCTCGGGCCTCCTACCATCCAAACCACCCACCAAGTCTACAAATACCTAGCTCGGCCTTCACCTCCCAACTTAACCTGGGCGGCTTAACCAGGTCTCCAACCCTCATGTTTCTTACTGCCAGGGTAATGTTTACATCGAGGTCTCCATCCAGGCCACTTCTTTATCCTGTCGTCTGCCTTCATATGCCTCCCCAAAGCACGCTGTCGCCTACCCTTGCATCTCCCTCCCACAACATCGCAGCTGCCGGGCCCACTGTGGCCCCACTGCGGGCCCACTGTGGGCCCACTGCGGGCCCACTGCGGGCCCACTGTCGGGCCCACTGTGGCCCCACTGTGGCCCCACTGTGGGCCCACTGCCGGGCCCACTGCGGGCCCACTGTCGGGCCCACTGTGGCCCCACTGTGGCCCCACTGTGGGCCCACTGCGGGCCCACTGCGGGCCCACTGTCGGGCCCACTGTGGCCCCACTGTGGGCCCACTGCGGGCCCACTGTCGGGCCCACTGTGGCCCCACTGTGGGCCCACTGCGGGCCCACTGTCGGGCCCACTGTGGCCCCACTGTGGGCCCACTGCGGGCCCACTGTCGGGCCCACTGTGGCCCCACTGTGGGCCCACTGCGGGCCCACTGTCGGGCCCACTGTGGCCCCACTGTGGGCCCACTGCGGGCCCACTGTCGGGCCCACTGTGGCCCCACTGTGGGCCCACTGCGGGCCCACTGTCGGGCCCACTGTGGCCCCACTGTGGGCCCACTGTCGGGCCCACTGTGGCCCCACTGTGGGCCCACTGTCGGGCCCACTGTGGCCCCACTGTGGGCCCACTGCGGGCCCACTGCCGGGCCCACTGCCCCCGTACCCGTAGGTGGTGGAGGCGGTTGGAGGCGGCGCGGCCCCGCGCCTCGCGAACTCCAACTCGGCGGGCCCGCCCGGCGCGGGGAACACGGGGGCCGCGGGCCCCGCCGCGTAGGGCCTCGCCCGGAATCGCTCGTACAGATCCACGAAGCCGAAGCGGTCGCGCTGCTGCTGCTGTTGCTGCTGCTGTTGGTCCCCGGCGCCCCCGTACCCCCCGTAGGCGTCGTACGCGGCGCCGAGCGTGGCGGGGTGCGGGGCCGTGGCGAACGAGGAGGCCTGGGCCTGGTAGGCGCCCCCGTAGAGGCCTCCTCCTCCCCCGGCTCCCCCGCCCGCTCCCCCGGCCGCGGCGGCGGCTGCTGCCGCTGCGGCTGCGGCCATGGGACCCCCGTTGCGGTACCGCTCCACCCCGACCACGCCGAGGCCGCCTTGGCCCCCGGGCATCGCGCCGAGGCCGCCGAGGCCGCCGAGGCCACTCAGGCCGGCGGCGGCGGCGGCCGCGGCCGCAGCGGCAGCCGCGGCCGGGTTGGGCACCCCCGTGGGGACCCCGGTGGGCACCCCCGTGGGGACCCCTCCGAGGGCCCAGGCGGCGCGGCTGCTGTCTGTGGGGCAATCCTTGGACCAGTGTCCGCGCTCCCCGCAGCGGAAGCAGTTGGCCGAGCCGCCCATGCCGGGCGCCACGCGGAGTTTGCTGCGGCTGAGCTGCACCAAGATGCGGCGGCCCTTGAACTCGGAGCCGTCGAGGGCGCGGATGGCGGCGCGGGCGTCGTCCTCCCTCTCCATGTGCACGAAGGCGTAGTCCTTGACGATGTCGCACTCGGCCACGGGCCCGAACTCCTCGAACTTGGCGCGCAGCTCCACGTTGGTGCAGTCGGGCGTCACGTTGCCCACGTACATCTTGGTGGTGCTGCTACACTGGCCGCCGAGCATCAGCATGGAGGAGGAGGAGGAGTTGGAGGAGCCGCCCCGCTGCTGCCCGCGGCCGTGGGACGGCTCCACGTCGAGGGCCGCGCCGTGCAGGCGGTGGCCGCGCAGCGCCGCGATGGCCCTCTCCGCGTCCCCCGGGGCAGACATGTGCACGAAGGCGAAGTCCTTGATCTTCTCGCACTCGGTGACCTCCCCGTGCTGCTCGAACAGCTCCTGGATCTCGCGCTTGGTCGCCTGGAAGGGCACGTTGCCCACGAAGATCTTCATGGTGGACGAGGGGACGACGAGGTGGGACCCAGTACCGCTGCCGCTGCTGCTGATGCCGATGCGTGTCGCTGCTGCTCTACACTCTACCCGCTGCTTCTCTGCACGTTGCCGATGCCACTGCTGCTATTGCTGAACCCTACTCCTGTTGCCGATGCTTTGGTCTCTCCCGTTTCTCCCGTCCCTGCCTGCTGCTTCGTCTCCTGCTGCTGCTGCTTCTCCTGCCTCCGCTCCTGTCACTTTCCTGCCTCCCCAAGCTCCCCGCTCCTCCCTCTCTCCTCGTGCCACTCTCCTCCCTGCTGCTGCCTCTCCTCCCCTGCTGCCTCTCCTCTCCTCCCCTGCTGCCTCTCCTCTCCCTGCTGCTGCGTCTCCTGCTGCTGCCTCTCCTCTCCCTGCTGCTGCCGCCGCCGCCGCCTCCGCCGTCGTCTTCGTCGTCTCCGCTCTCTCTGCGCTCCTCGCCGCGGGGGCGACCCTAAGATGGCAGCCGAGCCCGGACACGAGGGACCGCGGCGATTTGCTCCCGGCGTGGGCACGTGTCGGGGACCGCGCCGAACCGCCGCTGGCGGGCGGGCGCGCGCCGCAAGGGGCCGTGGCGAAAATCCGCCGGCACCCGTTTCTCGAGTTGAGGGACCGCCACGAATGTGAATGCAACGCGCGAGAAGCGCGGTGACGAATGAGAGGCCGAGCTTCGCGGTGACGCGTGGCGCTGCTGGTGCTGCGTTGGCAGCGGGGCACACGCACAAGCAATGCAGCACGCTCGTCAACAACGCTGTGACGTTTCGGGCAATGGCCCTTGTGCATATCGCATGCTAGAGCATTCAGTGTCACGGATGGGGCACAATTGGCAACCATCGATCTCTAAAGTGCCGTTCATCCTTGAGCACGTGGTGTGGAGGAGGGCAATTCCCGGGCACGCGTCGCTCAAACAGAGCCAGAAGTTTCATATCGACTGGAGGAATCCGATGAGATGTGAAGCTCTTTTGCACAGGTGACCAGTAGAACATCATCCGACGAACTCTGGCGTGGGTTTAATGCACGAACACAACAACAAATCAAATAGCCTCGCAGCCACCGCGAGCACCACGGCACGGCGTCAGAACCCAGCCAGCCCCGGCAGGCCATCACGCACAGCGAACGCAAGAGTTCCGTCTCGAGTCAAAGTATACACACAGGAAGCTTACACACGGTGGCCCAACGTAGCGTGTTTACTGGGTACATGTAACACTAAAAACCGGGCTCCTGCCTCAGGGACGAGGGAGTCGTGGCGTTTAACAACACGACGCTGGACAATGATTTGCTCCAGGAAAGAAGCCTCAAGAGTCTGGAGACTCATTGACAGCTGGGAACTGGACCGTGATGTTTGGCAAATTCCTTTTGAAGAGCCTCTTGCTTTGTTTGGGATGAAACGGGAGCAGCATTCGGAGAGAAGCCGCCTAGCTTGCAGTGCAGCGCTCGCTCCCGCACAGAGGGAACGACTCGCATGTGAGAGGAACCACAGACAAGCAGGAAGACCGGGTGGTGAACAGGTGGCAAAAGTTGCCCAAGTTCTGTGGTCCTCCCTGTATATGAAGGTGTTATCTGCCAATGAATGTGGCAGGATACCACGCATGTGAGCGGGCAACACTATCCTGCTGCACCGCCGCCGTCTCCGGCTGAGCCAGGGTGTGGTACCCAAAGGGAGGGAGTTTCACAACGTTTGTGCGATCCACCAACCCTCGCCTTCAGCTTACAGGCGTGCCGTAGCCACCACCGCCACATGCGAGGGCGTAACACTCGGAGTAAGGCACAGATCACATAATTCTCTGGCAGCAGTTAAAAAAAAATCACCAGCAGACTTCCCAGCCACACCGAACGTCAATGGCGAGCAATAGCAGAAATGGTCCTGGGCCTCCCCGAGACCAACTCATCCTTAAATCAGTGCCCGGTGTGGTGTGTAAACATCACCACTTGGGAGACAAAAGCAGCCGAGTGTAGTGCTGGCCGTCACACCACCCCCTCGTGTATTGTGCTGGCCTTAATCACGGCTCCTCGCCAACAGCACTTGCCCCGAGTCTGTAGAAGGCGACACGGGAGGAGCATCGTCTTTTTACTTTTGGTAAACCTACCAAGTGCTCGCGTGTAACAGACCTCGCTCAATCCCCGTAACTGCGTGGTTCTCTGCGGCTCGTGTCCTTACACCGTGCGCCCGTCACGCCGAGAGTCGCACGACCGAACGAGAGCGCACGACGGTAGTCCGAGAGGACGAGGGGAGTCCGAGAGCGCGACCGGAGGCACAGCAGGCCAAGGGCCTACGACGGCTGCCGGCTCATCAGCCTCTCGACGGCGGCGCCCAGGTCCCCGCCGCTGGCGACGAGCGCCTGCACGTTGGCGTCGCGGTTCATGAAGCCCATGGCTCCCAGCTGATCCAGCTGCTGCTGCAGCCGTGGAGGCTCAGGTCCTGGAGCCTGCGGAAGCGACAGACACGGGAGGGGGGGGGGTGCGCTCACCAATAACTCACCCACACGTTCACGAACACATCGACGCCTAGCCAACACATGGCGTGCATTCACCACGCTTAGCAACATACGGGGTATGCTCACGACCACCACGATTACCAACATGCTGCACACAGTAACCAAACTAAAAGGACTCCAAGAGCTGTGTTCATGACCGGGCAGGTGCGGCACGGCCTTCACCCAAGGGCTGTGGATCGTGAGTAGCGTCCATTGTTAGGGACCACACTCAAGGGAGACCCAAATCCATAAACAAAACAACACGGGAAAGAAAATTTTACAATAACATTTAAACAATACGTTAAAGTTAATTATTATGCGATATATACACATGTGGGCACAAATTTTAACATTGAGAGTTTGGCAATAATAAATCTGGCGGTGTTACCTGCAGCCCTGCAGTGAGCACCATGTGCTGCAGCAGCTGCTGCTGGGGACAACCTGAGGGGGCATCCGACCCAGTGGGGGCAGCGGGGGCAGCAGGGGCAGCAGGGGCAGCAGGCATCTGTGGGCCAAACGTCCCGAACAGACCTCCAGGAAGCAGGCTGGAGGAGAGAGTACGACACACACGGACACGGATTCATTCGTCACGGCACCAGCGGCGTCACTCTGAGAGCACACCCAACTCTGGCCTCTCACGGATATCACCTCTGTCACTCGTGACCAGGGAGTGGTGAGGGTGGCAAGGGTGGTGGTGGTGGCGGCGAGGGCGCGTGGTCGAGTGGGTCGCGCGAGCCGTAGACTGTCTCTCTCTGGCTCTCACCCGTACGCGGGCACCATTCCCGCGCCGTGGCTGTTGAGGGTCTGCAGGCCGTGCTGAATCTGCATGAGCGCCTGGAGCGTGTGCGGGTTCGACAGCGAGCTCAGCAGCTTGGGGTTCTGCAGCTGGGTCCGCGGTGGGGGGAGAAGGACACGTGTTAAATTGCACCTAGCCTGGTACGATGGCTGTTGGGCAAGATCAAGATGTCATCGTGGACAAAGCCGTTGATGCCAACACCACACCTAATTGTCAACGCTCCTACCCTCCGCCAGATCCTGCAGCCGCTACACAGGAGACACACGGAGTTAGCCGTGAATCTTCAACCGTCTGCTCTTGGCCTTCTCTTCCCCTTGGTCGCCGGACTCGTCGTGGTATTGTCCACAGTGCGCACATGGCTCATGCACTCAACACCTCTTGTAATGCGCCAACACCAGCAGGTATATGCTCTTGAAGAGAACGACTCAAAGGCGAGAGGGGGAACCACAGACAGACGGGAGAGGCAGTCCCATACGGTGAGCCCGTGCCAAATTCCCCTGCAAGCTCTGCGGTCCTTTATATACCTGTGTGTGTAGTGAGTTTAGTTGGGCATGTGTAGCTAGTGTGTATATGGGGTGTGCGAGTTTGATTCCTGACTACGGCTAACATGAGTGGTGCTTAGTTCGTCAAATGGTCCTGAGCCTTTCTGAAACGCTGGCGCTTCAGAGACAAAGGCAGCCAGGTGTGATGCTGGTCACACCAGCCCCATTTAGTGCCATTTCTGTTGTAATTGGTGCTCTCTAACAGCACTGGCCCCCAGCAATCTGTTCAGGATTGTAGAATGGGGATCATTGCATTTGTAGTGAATGCATGCGTACGGGGCGCGTGTAGACAGTATGTGCAGCGAGTGTGTTTAGAGAATGTGTGTATGTACGGGGTGTGTGTTGCGATGTGTATAGCCAGTGTGTGTAGTGAGTGTGTAGCGAGTGTATGTATGTATGCTGTGTGTGTAGCGAGTATCTTTGGAGAGTGTGTATTGGGTGTGTGTATAGAGTGTGTGTAGCCAGAGTGTATATACAGTGTGTAGAAGGTGTGTATTTAGAGAGTGTGTGTGTGTATGGGGTGTGTGTAGTCAGAGTGTGTAGCGGGTGTGCCCACCACAGTGCACCGTGGACTGTCCGAGGCCGGGAGCCCGCGTGTGGGCTGCGGGGCGCAGGCCTCACCTGCTGCAGGAAGAGCGGGAGCTGCATCCTCAGCTGCTCCTGCAGGTGGGCGCTCCCAGCGATTAGCGGGTTGTTCAGAATCATCTGTAACCGATCAACACCGACAAGGCCAGAGCATGAGTGCGTGTGTACCTAGCCTGGCGCAGCGATGTAGTGACATCACCGCTACACCCACCGCACGGCTATTGTGTGTGTGCGAGTATCTGTGCACGAGCGCGTGTGTGTGTACGCAAGCTTGGCTGTGTGTGTACGTACAGAAAGCAGTAACCGTGCGGTGTTATGTGCGTGCGTGTGCGCTCGCGAGTGCGAGTGTTCGTATTGGTGCCCGTGTGTCTGTGTGTGTGGTGTGAGCCGCACCTGTGACGCGAGCTCGGGGTTCTGCGCCAGGATGTGCATGGTGCTGCGCACGTACGGGGCCGACATCAAACTCTGCAGCAGCTGTGGACTCTCCATCACCTGCTGCATCACCCCCTGCATCGCTACAGGGCCCACACATGGCGGATAGTTCACTGTGGCTTTTTATTGAACGCAAAGCTTCAGGCCCATGTGAAGCAGCCAGACACACGTGGCCTTTGTGTTGAGGCTCATGTGGCACAACTCCAAACACATCCAATAGAGTAGCATACACAGCTCAGAGATATCACAAGGACTGTTAATAAATAAAGGTGCATTCTGTTGTGCCAGGTCGGGACTAACAATGGAGTGGCAGCCTAAGGAGCGAGAATACGTCCAGTCTGTTGATGGAGCAATGAAATTGGCTCGTGTGCCGGAGCTACGCGCAATGCATCGCGAGATCGTCGGATATTGTGCCAAGCGGCACGTAGCGGCACAATGCAAACATCGGAATCGTGGCAAATTCACGACCCGTGAGGCCAGGGAAAGTGGAGCCGCAGCTCGCCCCCTCTCTTCCCCCACGTGCCTCCACTCGGCACGAGCAGCGCAAGCAGGCCCGGTGGCGGCACGAGATGTGGCGGCACGAGCGCGCGCAGGCAGGCACGTTCATCGACGCCTACCGCTCTCCAGCCCCGTGCCCGGCGCCAGCGGGGCGGATGTCCCGGTCGGATATAGCCCCGGGAAGACGCCAGTCGCGGCGGATGCGCCAGAGGCAGCGGACGAGGAGGAGCCGGGCGGCTCAGCGCCCGTTTGGTCGCCCTGTGCCGGACACACGGCGGGGGACGGTGCCCGCAAGTCACGGCTGACGATCGCGCCCAACGCCGCGATGGCCGGGAGCTATGAATCTTGTTTACGATAGGAACAGTGCTGATCCATACCTGGTTTTGCGTTAAATCACGTGGCCAATGTACCGATCAGGTTCTAACCGAGAAACCTCCTCCCTCCTCCTCACCGGTGGTTTGAGACTTCTCGTGATGAAGTTCAAAGCAGTTTGGGCGAAACATCATCGCACGTGGATGTTTAATTCAGCCGTGAAAAATCTCTGATCGATACAATGACCACGTGCAAATAACCCCGTAATAAACGTAACAAGCTTGCCGGATTGTGGAGAGTTTGTTTACCCAGGAAAGCCTCATCAAGTCACGATACTCTTCCGCAGGAGGCCTCTGCGTCAGGATGTTCGGCAAATTCCATTCACGGGCATTTGGCTTCTGGGAGGAAACCCACCGCACGTACGAGAGGACAGCACTCAAACATCCATCCGCTTTACGGCTATCTCGTGGTCACCACACAGCCCAGCAGTAACCCACCCCCCAACTCTTGCCCCCAAATCGCCGGGCTGTGGCACTGACCGCGCGGCTCTCTGGGCAAGTGCCGGCACTGTGGGTGTGTTCCGAGCGGACCAGCACCTCCAAGCACCTCCCAGCATCTTACCGGCCATGCTGGTGCCTGCTCCTGCTGGTGGAGGGCACCGTCGGGGCCACCGTGGGGTCCCTGTGGAGAGGGAGGGTCCGTGGTGCGGGGCTCCAGCCCCCCTCCCAACGAACCCCACGCCATCGACTGCATCACCGCCGGGTTCCTCACCAACTCCAGCGTCTGCCTCACAAGCATCCCAGTGTGGTGGTGATCGGGAGTGTGGTGGTGGTAGTGAGTGTGGTGGTGATAGTGAGCGTGGTGGTGGTAGTGAGTGTGGTGGTGATAGTGAGCGTGGTGGTGGTAGTGAGTGTGGTGGCGATAGTGAGTGTGGTGGTGATCGTGAGCGTGGTGGTGGTAGTAAGTGTCGCTGTGATAGCAAGGGTCACGGTGATAACAAGGGTCACGGTGATAGTGTTGTGGTGATCGTGAGTGTGGTGGCGATAGTGAGTGTGGTGGCGATAGTGAGTGGTGGTGGTAGTGAGTGTCGCGGTGATAGTGAGTTTTGCGGTGATAGCAAGGGTCACGGTGATGGTGTTGCGGTGATCATGAGTGTGGTGGCGAGCGAGTGTGTGGGGGGGGGGGGGGGGCTTGGTGAGCTGATTGAGATATGGTGACGCATGCGGCGTGCTGTGGGCACCTGGCGAGCGAGACCCGGGCTGGCGAGGATGTGCGCGATGTCCGGGTTGTGCTGCATCAGCTGCTGCATGTGGGGGTTGGAGTCGACGAGCTGGCGCAGCGTGCGCGTGTCCGCCAGGAGGCTCTGCACCACGGGGCTCTCCATGAGCTGGGCCAGCAGCTCCGGGCTCGCCATCAGCTGGCGCTGCATGTGCCGCTGCAGCTCCGAGAGGCTGCACGACTCCAGGCCGGGCCCCCACAGGCCCCCCATCCCTAAGGGGATGCCCGGCCCCCCCGCGCCCCCTGCGCTCCCCGCACCTGGATGTGGGGATGCAGAGCACGGAGAGAGAAGAGATAACGTCCCCGATTACAGCGGCAGCTGCCGACACTCGCCCGGGCGGCCCCCAGCTGCATTGCCCAGGTGGAGTAATCATTATTTATGTATCCAGGAAAGCCATGCGGAAACGTAGGACTCATCATCAAGAGCATCCTGCAACACTGACTTTTTATGTTTTAAGTCGGCAGTGCTTATTATTCTCGTGGGAGGAAACTGGAGAACCCAGGAGACATCTTATGGCTTGTCCGAGGAGGCAAGCATCTATCCTCCTTACAGATTGAAACATATAGCGATTATTCCCACTTTCTGTACTGCTTTCTCCTAGCGAGTCACAGTATGGCCCCTCGACGTCCACGGAAAGGGAGTTTCACAACATCACAACATCTGTGCGTGTCCACCAACCCTCGCTGCTGACGCTGCCTCCACAGCGGGGGTTTACAGGCAGCCACGTGCAGCAGCGTAGCCACCACCACGGCTCCGCTAACAAAAGTGTTCCCTGACCGGGTACCGAACCTTGGTGGTGGCGATGAGGGTGCCGAATCCTAACCGTAGAGGGGGTGTAGCCGGATCGTGATGGCTATGGTGCACGTGGTCTCTTACCTGGCACTGTGAGACACTCCTGGCTTGCCAGGACAAGGTGTTACAGCAATGTGTGAACTAATCGCATCGGTCCAATCCGTACGAGACAGTGTTGCCCCCTCGCACACGTGGGTTTTCTCCGGGTGCTGTCCAGGCCTAACCCTGCTAAGCTTCCGAGGTCTGACAAGATCGGACGCATTCCTACTCATTTTGTCATCGGCTAGAGCCATTGCCCCCATGTGAATGCTCTGGCAAAGCCAGCGTGTGGCCATGGGACTTGAACTTCCACCCTTGATGCTCACGGACTCGGTAAGTTGGTCAGGGTCAGGGCCTCACCTGGTGGGGCTGGGCCAGGATGCGTCACGCCGCCTGCTGCTGCTGCTGCAGGGTTGGTGCTGCTGCTGCTGCTGCTGTCGGCGCTGCTGCTGTCAATGGGGTTGGCATCGGAAGGAGCCGAAGGCTGTGTTGATTCAGACGCAGACCTGGCATCACAAAAGCGATGGAGGAAATCGGAGGAGGGGGGCAGGGGTATGGGAGCAAGAGGACATCTGCATGAGAGGGGTGGATGCACTGACCGCGGGTGCTGCGAGCGAGCACTGAGGGTGAGCACGGCAGTATCCACGACAATATCCACGACATTATACTCGAAGTATACATGCAGCCTTGTGGACAGTGTCGATGCTGTCCCCACGTCCAACCCCCCCCAGCGTGTCTGCACGTCTCCCGGTAAACCACGCCTCGACTCGCACACGTCCGTGTCTCGGCTCTCCTGTCACCCGAACGACAGCTCGCAGTGGAACTCTCCGCAGCAGCCCAACTCACAGTCTACTCCTCCTCTCTACGCCGAGGCGTCGTTTCTCCGTGGCAGTCCCTGCCGTCTGGAGCTCCACCGACTCTTCACAGACAAAGGCCCCCCACCTCCTCTCTCGCCGAGCTTTCGAGCGACGAGTTTGGCTCCGCATCTCGGTCGCAGTCATTCATGTCCGTGAAATATTGTGCGCGTGCTTTAACAAATCGCAGCTTCATTACTACTATTATGAAGTTGCGTAATAGTCTCACATCTCCCCGGGCCCCACCTGCTCGGGTTCTTGATGACCAGGTGCACCGTGAGGCCATCCGTGATGCCGAGCTGGGCCAGGGTCTCTCCCTCCTTGAGGATCTTCCCGGCGAAGATCAGCACCAGCTGCTCCGCCGGCGCCTTGAAGCGCGGCGCCAGAAACTCCGTCTTGAACTGCACAAAGATAAAGGTGCCCCGTGTAGCCCACGCAGACCGTTACGGCGAGCGCCTGCAGCGAGCAACCACGAAGGCCTGCACGGTGCACGACGGGTCTGGTGTGGCCCGGCCACCTTTGTCTCCCCATCGGTGGCGCTTAAATACCTCACCAGGTACTCATTTACGGCTGAGTCGACTTAGAGGAGGCCCAGCATTGGTTTAAATAATCGCCACTGATGCCGGCTACTTGGAGCGGCAGTGCTAGCCACTGCGCCGCTGCTCCACCACATCCAGAGCAATTAAAATTAAACACCGCTTCTTGGGAGGTCAAAGGTGGGCGATCCTATGGATGGATTGACTCTCGCCATGGGAACGTGGAGTTTTGACGCGCGCAGTGCTCGTTTGGTCAGGGAGAGGCTGTGGCTTGGAGACATTGAGACATTGAGCGAGGGTAGAGCCTGCAGGGACGTCAAAGACCCCGTGGCACTGATGATGATGATGAGAGCCGGAGTAGGCGGTGAGTCTGCGTGAGCATGTGCTTTAATGAGTGCGTGGATGACCACATTTTATTTGGATCTTTCGGTACGGTGAGGTGACGTTACCTAAAGACCCACCGAATATGAATTCCTACAGTCACGAAAGCTTTAAGTCAAGATGATAACATTATTAGACTGATAAGAGACTGAACAAGTGGAGTCAGTTAATTAGTGCATCTTAAGGGGGCGATTAAATACCCTGAGCCAACGAATGCAGAGACAGGCGTGAGGATGATGGAAACGCGACGGAGATGCTCGCACGGGAGAAGCAGCAACAGAATGAGCGAATGCAATACGTAAATGAGTCGACGCATTGACGACAAGAGTGAATACGAGCGAGGGGAGTGAGTGAACTGAACAAATGAGCGAATTGCGTGAAAACTCCACGGGTGGTGGCACGAATGAGTAAATACGCGAGCGAGCGAGTGAACGAATCGGCGAGTGAATGAGAGAAGTGGATGAGCGAATGAGCAAAATCGTGGAGTGGGCGAGCGAGCGAGTGAAGAAAGGGCGACTGAGAGTGGCAGTGGGCGCGGAACGTCGGAACCGCACGCCCCCGGGGTGCGGGGTGGGGGCCGCACCTCGCGGACCGTGCAGGCCCCGGGCGCCGTGACCTCGTGGCGACCCCGCGCCGCGCGCACCGCGACCCGGACCGACCCCGCCGCCGCCGCCTCCATGCCGAGCCGAGGAGCCTCCAGCACCCCTCGTCCCCCGTCTCTTCCGGGCCCAGGCACCGCCCCAACGCCCCCAACGCAAAGATCCCCCGCGTAGCCCTCGCAGGCTGCAGGGGCAAGTGCCGTGAGCGGTGAAGGCGCCAGCCGAGGCCGGCCCGGCACACGAGGGGGGCGGGGGGGAGGCAGCATCCACACCCGGCCGCCTTGGTCTGCCGGCTGGCGATGTCTCCTGCGCTCCGCGTCGGGGACTCGTCGGAGGGCGACTGGGATGACTCTTCAGTGAACGAGCCGAGTGCGCGTGGGTCGATGCAGGGTCCCCGCCCCTCCAGGCCTCGCTCCTTCCCTCCCCAGCCAGCACATTGCGAGATGATTGAATCATGAGAATGAGTTGTTAGCCAGAGCCCCCCCCCCCCCGTCTCACTACATCTCAACACGCTTGAAAGGGCACCCCCGGTGGCAGCTGTCCCTGTGTGGCGACTCAGCACTTGAGCTCTAAGCGGGCATTAGTCTGCCTGGCGGGATGATTGGTATTGTAATAATAATATACTTATTTATCTGGCAAGGCCAAACTTTAAGGAGGGTCCTGCATTGGGGTTTTAATAAAGTTTTCAGCCAAATTAATAACGAGTTTATTATTCACGTAAAAAGGAAACCGAGAAACCCCACGCCTTGCGCGAGGGTGCCACGCGATGTCCCCCGTACAGATGGGAACAGATGGAGATCAGTCCACTTGCGCTGCTGCCTTCTCCTGGCGAGCCAGGGTATGGCACCTCCTGGATGGCGACGGGCAGTTCATCAACATCAGTGTGTGTGGCTCCACCAGCCCTCGCTGTGAAACCCCAATTGAGTCAGAACGGATCATTTTCAAATCCGGAAAATTTGAATCCTGATACTGACGCACCACGGCCTTCTCTCACGAATGACGCGAGGGATCTAAACTTCCACGACGAAGCAGAAGACGCGTGCGAGATGATGGTTATTATTACACTCGCAGTATTAACCAGGGTGGCCTCTGAACTCGAACTGCGTACCTCTGCAACGAGCGGCAAGCTCGGTCACGCTGCGTCAGCGCCCCCCATGAAATGCTTCACCGTTTCCAGACTGAGAGTACGGTCATGCCCATCTATGGGGCCGTCCATAAATGACGTCACGCACCGTGGTAGGGGGGTCAGACATTTGTGACGATGTGTGACGAGAGGGGGGTTCGAGAAATGTGACGTCACATCAAAATGCGCAACTTTAAATAAACATAAACACGTTCTAGTTAATTAAATAGACTTTTTAATGTTTTCTCCTACAACATCAGAGTGCAGCGCCACATTAAATACGCACTACAATGACAATAGTTTAAAGCGATTTGAAGCGTGTTTTATTTTGGGGGGGGGGCGGCAGAGCGTTGTGACGTCATATTTGAGGGGGGGTCTTTTTGTGACGCCGTGTGACGAAGGGGGGGGGGGGGTAAAAAATCGTCCAAAATCGCGTGACGTCATTTATGGACGACCCCATACAGGACATCGACATCTGTTCAAACCTCCCGTGTCACGTGAATTGTGGTCGCCCCCGACGATCCCCTGCCCCGTGCAGTGCCGAGGCCCTCCCTACCCTCACCTCTCTGCAACATTTGCTCCCTATTCTGTTTCCCATGCTTCCATTCCCTCTTCCCTTTCCTATTCATTCCCCCGCTCTTCCACATTATATAATTGACTATTCCCCTTCCCGTGGTGTGGCCATGGGTAGCAAATTGCGAGTATTTAAAATCAAAATACGATGTTCAGAGAATTATATTATTTGGGTCTTTCGGTAAAGTCACATAGGTTGAAAGAAAACAATAAACTACAGGATTAATTCTCCATCTATTTTCCGAATCACTGGTAGACATGGAGGTGGTATACTGGATGTGGTGGTTCCGTGTGAAACAATATTCCCGGGCTGCTGTGATAGTCCCGGCTGAAATGAATCAGTGGTGCCAGTTACTGTAAAATCAAAGAAACACGCTGCACAAACCACGAAAAGGAGTCCATTGTCATTTATTATCTGTTTTAAAAGCACCAAAAATACAAGTGACCTACAGCAAAATGTTGCCAACGCTACGCAAGCACACACAAAAGGAGAGCAATCGACACCACGGCTCCCACACAGCCTCCCCCACCTCTTCATCCCCACCACCTCCACCAGGTCCCCAGTCCGAGGTATTCAATGGGCTCGCTCCCAGCACATTCGCGCTCTCTCCGTAGTAATGCCACTCGTCGGTCCAGGTCACTGTTCCCATGTCCGGTGCTCAATGTGTCGGTGCTACCTACCGATATGTTTGGCGTGGTGAGTTGCAACAGTTCCACGGGGGTGAATTATTAGTGCCACCAGGCACACACAGAGCATGGGCCCAGACAATAAAGGTCACTGGGAGCTTAGCAAATGGTGTATGTTTCAGAACCTGCTGAACGGTTGTCTTGATCAGGAAAAATTCCTTTGAAAGCAGCACTCCACCACCACCACCACCCATAAGCAAAGCCTTTATACAGACTGAAATAACCTGTCCATCATAGTAGCCCAAACAGTAAGCAGCAGAAGGGCTGTAAGATTGTTGAAATGGTTCCCAAAATACATGAGCAAAAGACCGACGCCCTGCGCGATTAAGAAAAAAAACCTCACGCGTTCAAACGCAGCTTCGCGTAATTCACAGTGATGACGGGACTGTCTGTGCCAACCATCCACACCACACTCTCTCCCATCGCCACAGACACGTGGGGTTCTCCAGTGCCCAGATGAATCTGTCGATGAGGAGAGGTGCTGGCGACACCGCTTTGTGTCTCTTCTCCGTTATGAACTGCGTCACCTGCTCAAGGTGACGCTAGCAGCCATCGCGAGCCGCGCGTGCGCAAGCGCGCTGCATGCCGTACGCCCTCCATGCAGCGGAGCGAGAGCGTTTGCCGAGCGTCGCCGCTGCCCGGCTCCTCGCCAACGCTCGGCCTCGCGAGCCCAGCACAGACACTGGCGTCGAGGAGGCACGACTTTGCAGTCTCCAAAGACGCACACCTTGAAAACGTTTGAAGTTACAATCAAAAAGACAAAGGCCCTATAATATAACAATAATTTAACTCAAACAAGATAAAAGCATTCAAGTTGAGAATTTCAGTTTCAATCAGTGTCCATACTCATAAAGACGTTAAACCCTTGAGCCCAGGGAAGAAGTCACCCGTCAGAATCGCCGGTTGAACTTGGTTCCAGGAGAACACGTTTTGCTGCGTGAAAGAGAACTTACTATTTGTGACACCAACTGCATGGTCTCCCGCTGCCAGAGTTGTTAAAAACATGTCTGCAGTGTGACGTGGCTCAGGCAGCCGCGCGCAGTCAATCCGACACGATGGGGGATACAAACGGGATGTTAACAGCATTAATAATTAGAATACATAAGGCCAGGTTCAGAAGTAGTTTGAGCAAGCAGTTTGCAATTGGAAGGTTGCAAGCACAAATCCTGGTTTGGGGTTGACAGATTAAGAACCATTTTGTTTGTGACTTTCCTATCGTTGCACTTGTCCCACCATAGGAATGGGCTATTTCAAGGCTACCCGCCACACTCATCCGAAATGAACGACTTAACTTTAATATTGACGTAAAATGGGCGACGGTAAAATTTTCAGAGAGACTTGACAACGAACGTCACTCGAAATCAGCCGAGGGAACACGAACGAGCAGCTGACAACACGAGCCTCTGCCCGGTACCCACACTCTGGCCTGCACTCAGTAGCCTGGGGCACGAGAGCCTAATCCACCCTGTGCCTCAGACCTCCTTGAATGCCCGTATCTCACAATATCTGGATGCTCGGTGATTGAAAGTAGCCGCTCATCAAGGAGGCGTCCCTGGATTCAATCCCAACACCAATACCATGTTGTCCGATTGAGCTTCACGGAGAATCTCACCATGTGATCACAAGCAGTCAAACATGATTAGACCACCTGGGCTTGCAAATCATAAAAAATAGGGACGTAGCAATATCTAAGATTAATTGACTGCAATGTAATCGTTGTGGTCACGAGGCAGCATGCGTGTCGGATTACATTATATCAATTCCGATTTGGGAATAGTCCAAGTGATAAGTTCATGATAAGGCTGCAGCCACGATCAAATCTACAAGCACATCAATGGGGAAAATGTATTGTCACAAGACAGATCGTGCACAGTTCAATGAACCATACAGCGGGTGGTGGATTGTTACAACCCCACAGAAGAGCGCAGCAAGTTTCGAAGAACCGCATACGCTGATTCTGCGGTAAACACAGAATCAGTCACCTGTGAGCCTCACTCAACACTTGTATCCCTCACCTGAGCCTCACCCAATACCCAGAGCGAAATCCTCACCCAACACTCGCTCAACGGCCACGCTTCTCACCCACACCAAACACCTGCACCCTTCATCCAACATCGGCGTCCATCACCCCTGGGCCTCATCTCAAGACAACTTTCTCCATCGTGGCCGCAGCACAACCTTCTAGACATAGATGGGGCCCGATGTCACCACCGTAGACTGTACAGCATAGATGAGCTACAGCGTCGAGAAAAAGTTTGTGAACCCCAATGATAATTATGGAAATTCCATAGTTTTACCATGATAGTCTTCTTGAATCAAAACCCAGTCTTTTCTTAAAAATCCAATAGGGTTTATATCAACCAATTCCAAAAAAATCTCAATGACCTCAAAAAAAGTTATTGATGCTCATGAGTCCGGAAAGGGTTACAAACCCATTTCTAAGGATTTGGGACTCCACCAATCCACTCAGACAGATAGTCTTTAAATGGATACAGTTCAAGGCCACAGTTACTCTACCCAGAAAATCAAGGAAGCCACAAAGAACCCCAGAGAAACATCCAAGGATCTGCAGGCCACTCCCAGGCTTGGCTGTGAGTGTTCATGACTCAACTATCAGAACAAGACTGAACAAGAAAGGTGTTCATGTAAGGATAGCAATGAGAAAACCACCGCTCTCTAAAGAGAAAATTGCTGCCCGTCTGAAGTTCGTCAAAGAGCACACAAATGATCCACAAAACTTCTGAAACAATGCTCTCTGGACAGACGAGTCAAAGTTAGAACTGCCTGGCCTCAGTGAGAAACGTTGTTTGTCGAAAACCAAACACTGCTTTCAAACAGAATAACTTGAACACGTCACGCATGGTGGTGGGAATGTGATGGTTTGGGGCTGCTTTGGTGCCTCAGGACCTGGACGGCTTGCACCTTTGACACAATCATGAATTCTGCGTTGCACTGAAAGATTCTAGAGGAGAATGTGAGGCTATCCGTCCGTGAGCTGAAGCTGAACCGAAAGTGTGTCTTGTAGCAAGACACTGATACTAAATATACAAGCAGATCTACCAAAGAATGGTTGTAGAAGACATTTCTCGTTTTAAAACGGCCTAGTCAAAGTCCAGGACCTAAACCCCCATCAAAATGTTGTGGCAGGACCTGAAACGAGCTGTCCGTGCAAGGCAATCCTGAAATGTCACCGAGTTGAAGGACTTCTGTGAGGATTAATGGGCCAAAATTCCTCAAATCCGATGTGAGAGATTGACCAAAGGTTGCATGAAACGCTTAGTTGCAGTCATTTCTGCTCACCAGTTACTGAATCTAAAGGTGCACACATGGTTATTGAATGTAGAATCATAGAGAATCATTTGAAGATAAATACATTTTAACACGTAGGCTGGCGAATTGCCCGATGATGCTGGATGCAATTACCAGTGAAACGTCGTGCTACTCAAAAATGGTAAATGTTGTGGTTTCACTCTTCAACACACCAGGTGGGCTAAAGTAGTGAACTATGTCTTTTGTCAACGTGATACTTTTTGCTGATTGGCCGTGTCGGGTGGTGGAGGGTTACGACACATTTATAAATAACGCGATCTAACCCAAAAACGGTTATTATGAAGATAAATACATGTTGAAGGACTATCATGTTTGTGTCATTTGTTTAATCAGGTTATCTTTATCTATTATTAGCACTTATATTAAGATCTAATAACATTTTAGGCTTGAAATATGTAAAATATGTGAACATCTTAAGGGGTTCACAAACTTTTTCTCGGCACTGTACATTACCCCCAACATGATTTAACAAAAACACGCCATCACACCCTGAACCACACACTCTAAAAAACTGCGCAAGGGGTTTTTTCCATTTAACCTTAAAAACAAAACCCATCTCATTTGTTTCCAGTCAACATTCCATGTAGCTAAGACCTGCACTTTTATACAAATGTATGTCCCCTTTAGACTGAGGTACGATATATATACACATATCCACGATTTACACTTTCAAAAAGAAACTGGTTCAAAGGTGAAATGAGCCCAAGGTTCTCACATGAGGGACACAAAACATAGATTCCCCCGAACCATAACAGACTGTTGGGGCAAGTGCTGTTAGCGAGCACCTCCGAAGGCTGGCACAGCACACGAGGTGGGTTTCCAGCACCACGCCCGGCCACCTTTGTACTACATGTCGTACTCATTTAAGGCTGAGTCAACATAGGGGAGGCTCAGGACTGGTTCAGATAATCGTTACTGGTGTTGGCCATGAGCGGGAATCGAACTGGGGTCACTGGTTTTGGAGCGCAGCACGCTAACCGCTGCACTGCCGCTTCCCACACAAGGAACGCGAGTGCACACGTGCGTGCGTTCATGAGCCCTGGTAAAGTTTGGTGCCAAACTGCTTTTGTTTTGGGCATCAACACAGTCCGCTCGTAGACGGCAAGGTCAGCGAGGACCTAACAACAGCTGTGACAGGCGCCACAGGCCGGGATTCACTGCCCAAGTCACGACACAACGAGGAACACCACCTCGTCTGCAGCCTGGGAGACCTGGGAACCGCAGTTATATAGCAACACCCATTTAGAATGGTGGGTAGAATTACACTTAATCTAAGATTCACATTTAATAGAAGCACACATTTTTTTAATCGCGGCGCAGGCTCTTGAATGTCTCCGTGTAGTATGCTTTGGTCATTGCGGGAAAATATCTCTAGTGGCTGCCGCCCCCGATAGTGGCACTGTGACCCAGCCAGCACGTTCTAGGAATCGATCTCTGCCTCGCTACATTCTTCAGATCGGGTTTAAGTGTTGTCGGCTTCATGTTTTTTTGCTTGCGAAATGCACCCCCCCCTTCCCACCCTCTGCACGTCTCACCAACGTTTAAACTCCGGCCAGCTCCTTTGCAGTGCCAAACGTATAAAGATTTAAGCTGGAATTATCTTTTTTAACGGCTAAACGATTTACAACATCAACCACAAAACATCATTTTCCCCAATGCATGTTTTGCCTCTTACACGAGTTAATAAGTAGGTGCATATTTCAACAGGCGTCATAGGTATATGCTTTCCCAGGTATCTGGTCAAAGTGCCGACTGCGAGTCCGTCGCGAAACGTCACAACAGGTAGTGTTTAAAAGGGTGTGCAAATTCGTCTCGCTAACGGACGCAACAAATGACACTGACGCGATCGAGATTTCTATAACCTCGGTTAACATCTTGGCTGCTACACAGCGCAGGGTGGCTCAATCTGACCAACGATATCGCAGGATCTTTAACATCCTCTACACAGCAGACGGCGGCGCACTTTGGTAATAACCGGCACGATTGATTAAGTGGCGGTGAAGAAACCATTACCGTGTGCAACAGGCATAGAGGGTGAGCACTCGGGCCGCTTGTCCCCACTCCCCTACAACACCTGCCAGCCACAGGGGGGAAACACAGACACAGGTTGGGTGCCTCACTAAGGCCCCGGCCACCACTAGCCCACCGTCACGACCACCCCTCTCTCAAAAAATCACATTCTGTATGAGCATGATAACAAATTCATTCAGGAGAACCTCGCAGTCTTAGGAGTTTAACAAAATCACAGTGTCCAGATAAACGCTCCACATTCGAGGGGAGAATGCTCAAAAAAGCCAGAAACCTCCTTGCTGCACGCAGGACAGATGCAGCAGCAGCAGCCACCGCTGTCAATCAAACCACACATCCTGCTCATGACGACTGCGAGAGCAGACCTCAAATTAACGGACCATATGTTGAAAGTGACCACTATAAATTAGAACGGAAAGCGAGAGGCAGCAACTGTACGGGTAAAATATGACCATGATCACAATTACCAGGAGGTAAAGTAGCGTCGTGTTAGTGTTGGTGAGAAGTGAGCCAGCCACTCCACTCTCGGAGACGAGGCGAGCCGGGAAGGGGTCCACTTGGCTTGTACCCACACACCGGCTCAACGATTACAACCGCTCCTCATGCTCACGACACACGCATACGTTTTGATTTGTATACAGTGTCACATAAACCCTGCAGATACCGGAAGCTATAGACAGCACATTTGCCACAACGGTCGCGGTTCAATTAAAAGGTTTTGATTTAACCGCGACCTCGAATCGTGGCAAATCATCGCGTCGCAGGGGGGATGAGAACCGTAACGCGGCGTGAGTTTGGGGCAGAGAGCGGAGTCCCGACTCGGCCACACGCCGGCGTGCACCACGGTGCTGCGTGCGGCAAAGGCTTCGGGCGCACAGCGAAGTGACTTGCGTTCAGTTTGGTAAAAACAGCGCTGTTCTTAACGTTTGAAAATACCGCGACGGCACGTGCGATCAACTCTACATGTGAAATAAATAACACACTCCCTTTCATAAAATCCCACTGCATCTTGGCATGGGAATAACAATAAAAGCTGGCTGCCAATTATTTTAAACCAACGTGACCTCAGGCCGGCCAATAACACAAATGCCGTAACCTAATTTTCAAACTGCCTGTGAACAAAAATCTACGCTTGAATTTCAAACGTCCATGTGACAGTGTCCAACAAATTGGGAGGCAGGAGTTTAAGGGATTATCTGATAGCGATCCAATGAATTGTCGAGATTCTGGGGCACAGTTTGAAGTCGATTCTTTTTGGTTTGATTTTTAACATCTCATTTGTATTCTCATTTTTTTTGGTCTTTGGGTTATTTTGCGTAAATATATAAATGTGTCGTTAAAACCTGCCACCACCCGACACAGCTAACTAGTAAGGGTTGTCACGTAAACAGAACGTGCAAATTCGTCACGAGTACAGCACCACTGGTGTGATGGAGAGCCAAGCCACAACATTTACAATCTGAGTACGACGTTTCGCCAGTAATTACAACTAGCTTCATTAGGCGACAGCCAGATTTGTGGAGAAGTCCACCTGTTTCGTTCCTAATATAGAGGCGTAGATGTGGTGACCACCCTTTTGCGCTCTTGAGCAAAGTGGTGGGGGGGGGGGTGATTACTGAGGCAACGTACATTATGCATGTGCATTATGCGAGCCCTTTGATCTTGTCCTTCCTGTCTATTGTGTTTATTAAAATAGCCGTACCAACGGTAATCCCTAGTGAAGTATGCTGCCCTTCGTAGGAATACATTTAAATAATGTATTATTTGATGATTCGCTTCCACACAGTACCAAGGCGGTAGCTATCCGAACAGTTAAAATTATTTTTCTTTCAATTTCGATAGATTCTCTAATTAGTCTTGGCCAGTAGTAGCTAGTTTTGCACAGAACTTCAACATTATCAAAATCAATTGTGTGTCCTTGTTGGCACGTGTGTTCTGCTACTATTATGATGATAGTGGTCGCGAAAGCCGATGTGTTAAACTTTTTCGGTCTTGTTTGTAGTTTTGTTGTTCATGCTATTACCTTGAATGTAACATCAGGATTTCATTTGGATATTTCATTTTCTGAAATTGTAAATAACAAATTCTCACGAGTGCTATTCAATGCAGATACACGCGTCACGAGCGTGCGACTCGATGCGTCGCTATATTCCAACCAACGATGGACAGACACCGAATGATATCTGCACCATTTACCATCGCATTTGGTGCAACCAGCTCGGGTCATGAGCTAGTTCTCGCCGGTTCGACTCCCAAACCTCACGCCCATTCGACTCTCAAACCTCGGCATGAGAGGAACCAACCGAACGATACACCCGCTGAATAGAACCGCACAACACACGGTCACGCTCCCCTCAAACCCACTCGCCGGGAAGACTCCTTGCAGGGTCAAGTAAAGGCAGGACACCTTCCATTCCTACTTTTGGAGAGAGGGGCAAGTGTTACGATGGGGCCACCTTAATTATGAGAAGTCATGGGACCCATTGGCTACTGAACATAGATACTCCTAACTTCGACATTATCCACACACACCAACCCTTTGCTCACTCACCCACAACTCCCTTCTCATGCTCACTAGCTCACTTATTCACAATCACACTCATTCACTCACGCACCCACCACTCCATTCGCACACTCACTCTCATCTTCATTGATTGAATCACTCAGGTGGGGGCAGGGGGAGTGGGACAGGGGTGGGGAGGGACAGGTGATCGAGGATCGAGATGTCTTCGTCGAATGACCCCGGGGTTCCGAGTGAGGAGGTGGTGGCGCTGGCATTGAGGGCGCGGCAGCCGCTCTTCTGGTGCTCATGCAGGCGACAGCGCACGGGGAACCTCTTCCCGCACGCGTCGCACATGAAGAGGAAGACACCCACGTGCAGCAGCGCGTGTTTGATGAGGTTGCTGAGGAAGGTGGACTGCAGGCCGCACACGCCGCACACCAGCGACACCGTGTCCACGTGCAGCCGCGCGTGCTCCCGCAGCGCCGCCATTGTCTTAAGCACCGATATGCCGCAGGTGCGGCACGCCACCACCTCCCCCGCCGCCGCTGCCGCCTCGTCGGCGGCCCACGCTGACTTCGCGCGGCCGGGCGTGCCCCCGGCCTCGCCCCCCCCCCGCGCCAGCAGCTGCTTCAGCTTCTTGCAGTGATGCTCGCGGTGGAGGTTGAGGCGCGTCTCCGACACGAACTGGCGGCGGCAGTCGTGGCACTGCAGCACGGCGATGCCCGTGTGCACCACCACGTGCTGCATGGCGTTGCTCAGGAGACTGAACTTTTTTCCGCACACGCGGCAGCTGAGCGTCGCGCGATCCAGGTGCACGGCGCGCGCGTGCTCGCGCAGGGACGTGTCGTTCTCGCCCACGAACTCCCCGCATGCCTGGCACTGCAGCTCCTCGCCGAAACCGGCACCGCTGCCGCCCAGGATCGCGTAGGGCGGCGCGGTGCCATTGCCGGCGGGCGGCGCCGCGCTGTCCCCGCCTGGCGGCGGTGTCTCCGCGGAGGCGCCGTTGTAGTCACCGTTGCAGTCGTCGTCTCCGTTCTCTGAGGCCGAGAAGGGCTCTTCCTTGACGTCGAGGAGGAGCGGGGTGCTGGCATCGGCGGCGTCGCCCCCTAGGTCTCTGGGTACGCTGCGACATGCGGCCACCTGTAGCTCCCTGTTCCACATCCGATGCTTGATGGTGGTGGTAGCGGTGACGGTGGCGCACGCCTGTCGGCCGCTCAGATCCACAGCCGCCGTCGGCGCCTCCTGCGTTTCCTCCGCTCGCTGCATTTCAACGACGCTCATCCTGACATCGGAGCCCTCGTCTGACTCGCCGCCGGGGCTGCCGTCCCCCCAGTCGTCCGTCTCGGACTTGAAGGGCCGGCAAGCATCCTCCAGGCACTCCAGGCCCAGGTCGAGAGCGGCGCAGTAAAGGCCACGCATCTCATCACGGCTCGCGCGGATCTGGCCCTTGTAGATAAAGTCGACGATGAGCTCGAAGGTACGGATCGAGAGAAAGTCGACCACGAAGGGCCCCATGCTGCTGCAGGGCGCGCTGAGGAAGAGGCTGCGGAAGTAGCGGCACGTGCTGCTCAGCACGGCCTTGTGCGCCAGGTATCGGCAGCTCTGCACCTCTACCACCACGTCGCAGAAGGAGCCGCGCTCCCGCAGTTCGCACAGCTCGCGCAGCAAGTCCGAGAGCTGCTTGTTGCTTGCCAGCTGGAACGTCTCCTCCTCCGCTCCATCTGCTCCCTCCGCCATGGCTACCCGCTCCGCTTCACCACATCGACCCGCACCCGTTTCTGTCGGCGTCTCTGCCAAATGTCATCGAGAACGGTGACAGGATGCACACAAAGACGCAGATTAACAGAGGAGGAGGAAGTGGAGACACCTGGGTCATGGGACACACGGGGCTACAACGATGCAGAAGGCAGGGAGTCTCACTGGCGTCACAGCTATGCACGTCAAACCGTTTATTAAACACCATAAGCAAACTTATCTTTACAGCAGGAACCAATGAACGTGCAGGCTGCCTAAATGAAAATCGTGCAACTAATGATGGACACATGGAACTACGCCACTTGAAAGCTGGATGTCAAAGAGACAAGATGTCCACATAAGGGCAGTGTGTACCATTAAGAACATGAACATGACAGCGGTAAACGATTAGGACGCTTGTAAGATGTGGGTGACCATTAGTATAATTAAGTGTTTGTTTACTTACGCACGGTGCATCACCCAATTCGGATAGTAATTCAAATAGACATACCTTGTTCACTGTTCTTAATATTGCATAAATGTCATATTTGCTGAAACTACAATAACTGACCGTTAGGATTCTTTAGAAAGACATTGTGATGTTGCTTAATTAGTGTGGAAATTCCCAACTGTAGGGCCCTGTATTCATGCAGGTTAAGGTGGCTATACAGAGAGATCTAAGGTGCCTGTTTTTACCTCGGTCTTTGTACCATTTGCACGGTGAATTAGTGTTACTGATGAAACGCTTCACTGGGTTTGTTTCAGCAATGGCTTCTCCCTTGTGCGGACCTGTGGTGTTCCCAGCATGTAGGTCTCCCTTGAAAAGCAGACCCGTCCGTCCTGTCATCTCAACAGGCTCTCACCTGCTTGATTAATACGGCGACTTTTTTAGTGGTGGGAGTCTCCCGTGGTGGTGGGTCGCTCTCACGCAGAGTGCGCGGTGTGCCTTACAGACACCGCTGCCGTGCCCTGTGAACCGACACTTCGGCCCCGGCTACGGGCACCGAGGAGGAGCGTGACGATCACATTCCCCTCTCTATTTGGGGAGGTTCCTACAGGAGGGGGAGATCAGTTAAGAGCCAAACTCCATGCTGTGGTTCTGACAATTCTAAGCAGAGAGAGATTTACATTAACACACAGCTGCCCTGTTTACCAACATCTAGGTCCTCCGGATACTCCAGTTTGGTCTCATGTGAAGCCAAACGCTCATGCATAGGATTGGCCATACATCCCAATGGAGCAGTACCCTCCTGAAAAAAGAGAATTGAGATTTGTAGATTTTCCTTGGTAAATAAACGACATCATACAAACCCGACTCCACTCGCAATGAGCAACTGTGCTCTTTCCACCAAGGTGAGTTTGGAACAGGTGTGAAGGACGCACTGCCAATCAAATACATCATTAGATTAAAACTATCATCAAACATCTATTGGTTCAGATGACCACAGCTCTGAAGACCTGAACTGATTAAAACATGAGGCAGCTGACATCGTTGCGTCAACATCAAACGCCCCATGACACAGCACCAGACGTCACACCACACATCAACACTGCATTATTAAAGGCCCTACGGTGTAACACTAACCTACAATTCAGCATGCAAACACGTATCCCATATTATACCAAGTGAATTATCCACACACTGTGCGAGGCGTCCACTGTTGGGCCCCGACTACAAGGCGTGTACGTGAGATTCCCTTCAAATCGGAAGACAAAGAATCAAGTTAAATGTGAAATCCTCTGGAGTGCCACTACTTGTGGCTTCATGCAGCTGAGGCATGGGATCCCTGGAATGAAATCACGTGGAGTTGGACAGGACACTTGGACTTGACATCGCACACTTTGCGTATTGGAACCCCTTTCAGAGCCCAGATTAAGAGCGTTCATGCGTTAAAGTTGCCTGGCTTCAATGAGCCAACCCGGATCAGCTGACTTGGAAAGGCACTTAAAAAAAAAACACGTGCAGCTGTGAGTCTGATATTTCTCAGGCTCACAGTCCGAACCCACACCCTGGGCCAAATGCCACGACAACATTTGACCCCATCAATGTCACCACAGGGAGGGTGCAGTGAGCTACAATCAGCACTTTTGAGCAGGAAAAGAGTGGCACAACAATAAAGTACGAAGGGAAAAAGCAGAAACATGTTATGATGAACACATGTACGTGCATTACGGACTCTCAATGAGAACGCTCACTTGAAAGTGCAGAGATGAGAATGTTGAGATGGAAGTTGGATATACGTCAAGGAAAATGCGACAGAATTAATAAGTTATTGCCTTATAAGGGATTTACTAATATTCCAGACAAGGCAAAGGAGGCGAGAATTAGATGGTGTAGGCAGGCGTTGAAAAGCGACAACAAAGACGCTATTAGAAGGGAAATGGAGGTTAAGACACCCATTGACTAACACAGAAGACCCATAGATTACCATCATCCACTTCATGCAAACCCAATTCGTTTGAGCTTTTTTTAAACAGGTATTTCAAACGACCCTACCACCTGAAGTGGCATAATATATTTGATGTTATAACTGTGAAGGCACTAATATGAACAATCCCATACTACAGTAATATAATAACACAGAGCAATGAAACGGTTACTTTAATTTACTACATCTAACTGCTGTGTAACAATAATCACTACCAATGGCGGAGCCAGGATTTTCAGGTAGGGGGTGGCAACCCATTCAGCAATGATAAATGATAGAGGAGTTGTTAACAAGTAAGGACTTCTCTCTTGCTTTTTATTTGACGCGTGTGCGGCGATGGCGCAGCCATCGATCGAGGGTCGAATTCGAACCGCGTTGTGTGATCGGCATCGCGCTCGCTGAAGGTGAATGCCTTCAGGGAAGTCGTGTACTGTATACGCAACTGCGCACAATTCTGAGTCACTTATAACCGCTTTGCCGTTACTTATTGCCAATTATGGACTCAGACTATTGTCCTATCATCTCATAGAGTCCCTGGCACGTAATAATATGCTACACGGTGGCATTGGGGGTCACAAAATGCCAATGTATTACTAATAAACACCAATGATCCGATCGAAATGAGGGATTTAGATCGGATCGTGGGGGGGGGGGGGCACGTGCCCCCCCCCCACTGGCTCCGCCAGTGATCACTACGGCTATCAGGGTCGTGAGGGTTGTTTAACCATACTTCACTATGTTGGTTAGTGCGGGTTGGTAGAGGGGGAATAAAGATCAGTTCAGATATGACTGGCCTTTGTGAGCCTTGGCCGGGATTCTTACCAGGAGAAAATATTACATCCTAATATGATGGCCAAGTTAAATTCTGCGACAATTGAGCTGTGTGCCATGCTGTGATTCAGTTAATGTAGAAATTACCAAACTGAATTTAAGGGTCTTGATTTGAATTTAAGGGGGATATGATTCGATGAAAATTAAAGCTCAGGATTGGACATAATGCAGGGAGTTTGAGCCAAAGACGTGAAAATGGGCGAACGACTAAAGAAGATAAAGTAATGATACCACAAACGTTTTGGCACTTCCAAGTTGCAACGGTTCTTACTGGGGCCCACGGCCCAGCTGTGTGAGACCAATTCCACTGGGGCTGAGAACCACGAGCTGGCATTAAACAACAATCGAGTGAGTCTAAGAATCAAAGAGTATGGATTCCTGCAGTCACGAAAGCTTCAAATCAAGATTCAAATGAAGAAAGAACCGAGTGAGTCGAATGGTCTCCCAGTGAGAGCCCCGGCGGGATGGTGGTCGCTGCCGACACGGCGAGGCACCAGGCACCATGGCACCAGGTCCCCATGGGGCCAGGTCACCCTCATTAGTCTCAAGCCCCCCCACGCTACCCTTTGTCCCAGCTACCCCATGGCACGTCCCCCCCCCCCAGTCTGTCAGGTCTTCCTCGGTCCCAAATTCCCTTCGTGTCATGTCTAAAGACATCACTTGTTATTCTTAATTTAATGTTGTTGTTTAGTTATTATCTTGTTTGCCGGATAAAGCCGCCCGAGTCTCATGTCTCTTTTTCTGGGGGGTTCTGTCAAGTTTTATGCAATTGGGGGCAATGATTGGCATGGACAGTATATTCTAATTTTAAAACTTAGCAAATTCGTAACGACCCCGGCACTCAATTGCCTACCTACTCCTGTGAATGATGCCACGGTATCATTCACTGGGAAGCAGAGAGCGCGTAACATCGCATGGTTAATTCACCCACAACAATTCACCTACAGTGATAACCCGGGCGGCCGCTGGATTTGAACCGTGAGCCTCTGCAACCAGGCGCCGAAAGTCCGAGGTTACCCCGAGTCCGAGGTTACCCCGAGTCCGAGGTTACCCCGAGTCCGAGGTTACCCCGAGTCCGAGGTTACCCCGAGTCCGAGGTTACCTTTCGTCGCATGCTCACCAGGACCCCTTCAGGCCCAGATCCCACTCAGGCCTAGGAACTCCCCGAAGTCTCTTGTTCCACAAGTTTCACTCTCGTCTCATGTTCCCCCGACTGCTGTTAGCTCCAGGGTCACCCTTAGTCGCACCGGGTGCCCCCCCCCCTCCCCCAGCCCCTCCCCCCGAGCCCTCCCACCAGAGTCTCACCAGGACCCCCCTTTTAGTGCCGGGTACCCCCCCCGGGTCGCTCTCCCCTCGCGCGAGTTGATCCCCGCATGGCCGCCACCGCCGCCGCGCACTCACCCCGCGGTGACGCTCCCTGCTGCTGCTGCAACCACCACGCAGCTTCACGCACGAGGTCTGCTGCGGCTGTGCAAGTTATACTCACTCCGCCTCAGGTGTGAGAGCTCGGCGTTCACTCCGTGGCGGCGGCGGGCAGGCGACGGGAGTTGCGCTCTCGCACGGCGCTCGTGTTGCCGCTTCCCTCCGCGGACCCCGGCAGCGTCTCCGCCTCCTCCTGCTTCTCCTCGCGCCGCCAGGCGTGACGTCACCGCGAGCACCTTGTGGCCATCTTGGTAAGGGAAGTCCCAGCGGGGTGGGGGTCCCCTGCTCACTCCCCCCCCCCCTGCTCACTCCCCCCCCCCCTGCTCACTCCCCCCCCCCCTGCTCACTCCCCCCCCCCCCTGCTCACTCCCCCCCCCCCTGTTCACTCCCCCCCCCTGTTCACTCCCCCCCCCCCTGTTCACTCCCCCCCCCTGCTCACTCCCCCCCCCCTGCTCACTCCCCCCCCCCCACCTGCTCACTCCCCCCCCCCTGCTCACTCCCCCCCCCCTGCTCACTCCCCCCCCCCCTGCTCACTCCCCCCCCCCTGCTCACTCCCCCCCCTGCTCACTCCCCCCCCCCCTGCTCACTCCCCCCCCCCCTGCTCACTCCCCCCCCTGCTCACTCCCCCCCCCCTGTTCACTCCCCCCCCTGCTCACTCCCCCCCCCTGCTCACATCCCCCCCCTGCTCACTCCCCCCCCCTGCTCACTCCGTCCCACCACCCCCCTGTTCACCTCCCCCCCCCCTGCTCACTCCCCCCCCTGCTCACTCCCCCCCCCCCTGTTCACTCCCCCCCCCTGCTCACTCCCACCCCCCCCTGTTCACTTCCCCCCCCCCTGCTCACTCCCCCCCCCTGCTCACTTCTCCCCCCCCCTGCTCACTCCCCCCCCCCTGTTCACTCCCACCCCCCCTGCTCACTCCCCCCCCCCTGTTCCTCCCCCCCCCCCTGCTTCACTCCCCCCCCCCTGCTCACTCCCCCCCCCCTGCTCACTCCCCCCCCCCTGTTCACCTCCCCCCCCCCCTGTTCAATCCCCCCCCCCTGTTCACTCCCCCCCCCCCTGTTCACTCCCCCCCCCTGCTCACTCCCCCCCCCCCCTGTTCACATCCCCCCCCCCTGTTCACTCCCCCCACCCTGTTCACCTCCCCCCCCCCCTGTTTCACTCCCCCCCCCCTGCTCACTCCCCCCCCCCTGCTCACTCCCCCCCCCCCTGCTCACTCCCCCCCCCCTGTTCCAACTCACCCCCCCCTGTTCACTCCCCCCCCCTGCTTCACTCTCCCCCCCCCCCCCTGCTCACTCCCCTCCCCCCCTGCTCACTCCCCCCCCGGCTCACTCCCCCCCCCTGCTTCACTCCCCCCCCCCCCCTGTTCACCTCCCCCCCCCCTGCTCACCTCCCCCCACCCCCCTGTGCACACTCGCCCTCCCCCCCCTGGTCACGTCCCCCCCCTGCTCACAGAGCCCCCCCCCTGTTCACTCCCCCCCCCCTGCTACATACACCCCCCCCCTGCTCACTCCCCCCCCCCTGTTCACTCCCCCCCCCTGTTCAACGTGCTCCCCCCCCCTGCCACCTGTCCCCCCCCCTGCCTCACTCCCCCCCCCCCCTGTTCACATCCACCCCCCTGCTCACTCCCCCCCCCCCTGTTTCACTCTCCCCCCCCCCCCCTGTGTCACTCACCACCCCCCCTTGCTCACGCCCCCCCCCCCCCCTGTTTCACTCCCCCCCCCCCTGTTCACTCCCCCCCCCCTGCTCACTCTCCCCCCCCCCTGCTCACTCCCCCCCCCCTGCTCACTCCCCCCCCTGCTCACTGCCCCCCCCTGCTTACTCCCCCCCCCTGTTCACTCCCCCCCCCCCTGTTCACTCCCCCCCCCTGTTCACTCACCCCCCCCCCACTCCCCCCCCCCCCTGTTCACTCCCCCCCCCCCTGTTCACTCCCCCCCCCCCCTGCTCACTCCCCCCCCTGCTCACTCCCCCCCCCCTGTCACTCTCCCCCCCCTGCTCACCTCCCCCCCCCCTGTTCACTCTCCCCCCCCTGCTCACCTCCCCCCCCCTCACTCCCCCCCCCCTGCTCACTCCCCCCCCCCCCGTTCACTCCCCCCCCTCTGTTCACTCACCCCCCCTGCTCACTCCCCCCCCCCCTGCTCACTCCCCCCCCCTGCTCCTCCCCCCCCCCTGTTCACTCCCCCCCCCTGTTCACTCCCCCCCCCCTGCTCACTCCCCCCCCTGTTTCCCCCCCCCCCTGCTCACTCCCCCCCCCCCTGCTCACTCCCCCCCCCTGTTCCCTTCCCTCCCCCCCCCCCGCTCACCCCCCCCCCCTGTTCACTCCCCCCCCCCCCTGCTCACTCCCCCCCCCCCTGCTCACTCTCCCCCCCCCCCTGTTCACTCCCCCCCCTGTTCACTCCCCCCCCCCTGCTCACTCCCCCCCCCCTGCTCACTCCCCCCCCCCTGTCACTCCCCCCCCCCTGCTCACTCCCCCCCCCCCCCCTGCTCACCTCCCCCCCCCCTGTTCACTCCCCCCCCCTGCTCACTCCCCCCCCCGCTCACTCCCCCCCCCTGCTCACTCCCCCCCCCCCGTTCACTCCCCCCCCCCTGTTCACTCCCCCCCCCTGCTCACTCCCCCCCCCCTGCTCACTCCCCCCCCCCTGTTCACTCCCCCCCCTCCTGTTCACTCCCCCCCCCCTGCTCACTCCCCCCCCCCCCTGTTCACTCACCCCCCCCCCCTGCTCACGTCCCCCCCCCTGTTCACTCCTCCCCCCCTGCTCACTCCCCCCCCCCCCTGCTCACTCCCCCCCCCCTGCTCACTCCCCCCCCCTGCTCACTCCCCCCCCCCTGTTCACTCACCCCCCCTGCTCACTCCCCCCCCCTGCTCACTCCCCCCCCCCCCTGTTCACTCACCCCCCTGCTCACTCCCCCCCCATTGCTCACCTCCCCCCCCTGCTCACTCCCCCCCGCCCCTGCTCACTCCCCCCCCTGTCACTCCCCCCCCATTGCTCACTCCCCCCCCCCTGCTCACTCCTCCCCCCCTGCTCACTCCCCCCCCCCTGCTCACTCACCCCCCCTGCTCACTCCCCCCCCCCTGCTCACTCCCCCCCTCTCACTCCCCCCCCCCCCTGCTCACTCCCCCCCCCTGCTCACTCCCCCCCCCCCTGCTCACTCCCCCCCCCCCTGCTCACTCCCCCCCCCCCTGCTCACTCCCCCCCCCTGCTCACTCCCCCCCCCCTGCTCACTCCCCCCCCCCCCCCACGGCTCACTCCCCCCCCCCTGCTCACTCTCCTCCCCCCTGCACCCCCCCCTGCTCACTTCCCCACCCCCTGCCACTCCCCCCCCTGCTCACTCCCCCCCCCCTGCTCACTCCCCCACCACCTGCTCACTCCCCCCCCCTGCTCACCTCCCCCCCCCCCCCTGCTCACTCCCCCCCCCCCCCCCCCTGCTCACTCCCCCCCCCCTGCTCACCTCCCCCCCCCCCCCTGCTCACTCCCCCCCCCCTGCTCACTCCCCCCCCCTGCTCACTCCCCCCCCCCCGCTCACTCCCCCCCCCCTGCTCACTCACCCCCCCTGCTCACTCCCCCCCCCCCTGCTCACTCCCCCCCCCCTTGCTCACTCCCCCCCCCCCTGCTCACTCCCCCCCCCTGCTCACTCCCCCCCCCCCCTGTTCACTTCCCCCCCCCCCTGCTCACTCCACCCCCCCCCCCTTTCTCACCCCTCCCCCTTTCTCACCCCTCCCCTTTCTCACCCCCCCCCCTTTCTCACCCCCCCCCCTTTCTCACCCCCCCTTTCTCACCCCCCCCTTTCTCACCCCCCCCCCTTTCTCACCCCCCCCCCTTTCTCACCCCCCCCCTTTCTCACCCCCCCCCCCTTTCTCACCCTTCCCCCTTTCTCACCCCCCCCTTTCTCACCCCCCCCCCTTTCTCACCCTTCCCCCTTTCTCACCCTTCCCCCTTTCTCACCCCCCCCTTTCTCACCCTTCCCCCTTTCTCACCCCCCCCTTTCTCACCCCCCCCCCTTTCTCACCCCCCCCTTTCTCACCCCCCTGCTCACCTCCCCCCCCTGCTCACCACCCCCCCCCACGCCCCCCCCCACGCCCCCCCCACTCCCCCCCCCCACGCCCCCCCCACTCCCCCCCCCCACGCCCCCCCCACTCCCCCCCCCACGCCCCCCCCACTCCCCCCCACTCCCCCCCCTGCTCGCCCTTCTCCCCTCCCCCATGCGGCCTCATGGAGTCATGGGGGCGAGGGGAAGGCGCAGTCACGCGATGACCGCGGGGCCGTGACGTCACGACCCCCACCCCCCACCCCCCTCCCCCCACCCATCCTGGCCACCAACCGCGGCACGCTGCTTGAGTAGCCCCCCGAGTAAGATGGCCGTCGAGAGGTCAGGGACGCGGCCAAGGACCCCGCTATAGGCGCCCGCAGCGATGCCTGATCCAGTGAGAGGGGCGGGGGGCGGGGGCCGCGAGGGGTGGGGGGTGCGCGCGGTCACGTGGCCCCGCCATTTCGCGGTGGGGTCGCAAAGGGAATGGGTGACAGCTGTGCGCTAGGAGGGGATGTGAGGGAGTTGAGTTTAGGGGATGTGAGGGAGTTGAGTTTAGGGGATGTGAGGGAGTTGAGGGGATGTGAGGGAGTTGAGTTTAGGGGATGTGAGGGAGTTGAGTTTAGGGGATGTGAGGGAGTTGAGGGGATGTGAGGGAGTTGAGTTTAGGGGATGTGAGGGAGTTGAGTTTAGGGGATGTGAGGAGTTGAGTTGAGGGGATGTGAGGGAGTTGAGTTGAGGGGATGTGAGGGAGTTGAGTTGAGGGGATGTGAGGGAGTTGAGTTTAGGGGATGTGAGGGAGTTTAGGGGATGTGAGGGAGTTGAGTTTAGGGGATCTGAGGGAGTTGAGTTGAGGGATGTGAGGGAGTTGAGTTGAGGGGATGTGAGGGAGTTGAGTTGAGGGGATGTGAGGGAGTTGAGTTTAGGGGATGTGAGGGAGTTTAGGGGATGTGAGGGAGTTGAGTTTAGGGGATGTGAGGGAGTTGAGGGGATGTGAGGGAGTTGAGTTTAGGGGATGTGAGGGAGTTGAGTTTAGGGGATGTGAGGGAGTTGAGTTGAGGGGATGTGAGGGAGTTGAGTTGAGGGATGTGAGGGAGTTGAGTTGAGGGGATGTGAGGGAGTTGAGTTGAGGGGATGTGAGGGAGTTGA